CTTAGTTGCAGGGTCAATTTTGGTGAAAATCTGTCTATAGTCACTTGTTTTTTCCTGAGCTGCATAACCCTCTGGAAATGAGAGACCACGTTACTGTTCATCAGATTCAACTCTCTGTTTGTTACAGTTATGTTGGGGTGGTGCTTCTCAAAGAAATCCTGGCACTCATTCCATTTTTTCATAATGGATTGTATCACATCAGTGCTAACCTCCTCCCGGTCTTATTCTTACTCTTCCTCAGTGGAATCCTCCTCAGCGAGTGCCTCCTGCTGCTCCCTCTGGAGTTGAGCAAGTTCTTCTGTCGTCAGCTCCTCTATGTCTTCCCCGCACGAACGCAACTGCGATTGTGGCCATCTCCCCACTCAGGGGCGGGGATGGGGAGATGGCCACAATCGAGTTGATTGATGCAGGGGAGATGGCCGAGATTGCGCCCGTCTTTCATGCAGGAGCACACCTGTGATCACGCATGTCTTCCCTGCATGAATGCAACTGCGATCGTGTCCATCTCCCTGGCGGGGGGGGGGGGGGGGGGGGGGGAGATGGCCACAATCTTGGTTGCCGCCCAATGCGGAGTTCGTGACCCAAGTCAAAATTTTCATGACATTTTTGTTCGTGACCTGATTTGGTTGTGAACCAAGGCATTCATGAGCTGGGGCACCACTGTACTCCCAAGCTGGTGCTTGCACTGTGGTTGGTGTTATGGCTCCCTATGCACCGAAGCACACAGGTGTCAAAGCTATGCCATGCTTCCTTTTGGTGTGGACAACACCCGTGAGGCAGGATACATTCCATGCCATCATACAGGAGGCAGGGAGGGGAGGGGAATCAAAATGTGCATTTCTGCCATTCTTAGACAATTGCGCCCCTTCCACCAGAGCCTTTCACAGGGAAGATCGCTGTAGACCAGCCTGCCCTCCAGAGGTGTTGGGCTAAATTCCTCTACTTCCTGCCCGGCGTTGACCATGCCGCAAAGGGATTATGAGCACCCTGTAATTGGGCACATCTGGGGAGCAGCTGTGAATGGTGTCATAGGCAGTGGAGGAACTAGGATAAGCAATATAAATGTGTAAGGTGTACTAACGCACAGTTAAAAGGTGTGAAAGCTTTGGATAGCTGAAACAAAACAAAAAAGGCATCCGGCTGGCAGGAACACAGAAGACGAGACGATGTCCTTATGCAAATTATCTTCATGAACTCATTCAGATCAGAGCCCAGGTAGAAAACATTTAAAACTTCAGCAACAAAGCAACAGAAGATGATACACTCTTAAGAACTCAGCAAGCCCCATCTCCTTCGGTCAATTTGCCTCAACTTTCAACAAAGTGATGTAACTTGAATAAGGAAATTATTTTACAAATTATTTTCTCTGTTTATGAGAAGAGCCAAGATATCAAAAGAAGATATAGCCATGCTAGGTCACCCACATACAATAATTCTCCCTTGTCAATGCTACTATTTCTGTGTTATTGTTTTACAGGTCAGGGATTGCTCAGATACTCCTTGCTAGCAATGGGAGTCCATTGGGAGCACTGAGAAACTCATGGATAGTAGTGCCAAGGTCCAGCTGGGAGCAGCGGGGATTTGCATCTCCTGATGTAGGAGGAAAGGTTTAAACTCCCAACCATATATGCTGTTCTCCAAATCCTTATCGGGGGGCCAGCAGCTGCTGTTTATGGTGGAGAAAAAGTTGCCATAAATGCCAAACCATGCATTTAATATCATGAGCAATTCAGTCTTCAGGATCCTGACAAAATGGAGGAAACCAAACCAAAGAGCTTACCCAGCAAGCGAACCCAGGTGCCATTCAGGGCCTGCCTGACACTTCACCCTGTGCTTTTTACAATAAACTTCCTTCCATGTACTTTTATCCAGGTGGATGAAAAAGCAGCATGTTTGTCCAGCAAAGATTTGCCTGGTGGTCAGAGGAAGGGCTGCTTTATATATGCTATTAAGCCCCTACAGGAAAACAGTTCCACGTGGGAATTACTGCAGCACTCAACCATGTCATGCATGCGTATGTTTTTAGTATGAATGCCAGCCATTGTGCCAAAAACCCACAAAACCTGCGCCATGCACAGAACTGTCTCCCTCTTCCATTCCACTGGACCAGGGAACCACCCACAACCAAGATACTGTAGATCCAACAGCTGGGGAAGCATCCTCACCTGCATCATCCTCTAGGCATCTGGTACAACGTACCGGAGTTGATGTCTGTGTCCAGGGAGGGCAGGGATTCTGCCGGCACACCATTTACGCTGCTGCCTAGAAGTCTCCCCGGGGTGACTTCAACATTCATTAAACTTCTTGAAGCTCAAACCCCCAGCCAAGCTGCCTAATTTCATATCACATGGGGAAAAGAACAAGCATATTCATTCATTCTCCCCACCACACAAAGGTGCGTTTTTCTATGAATGCTGGAACAAACCATAAAGTTGCATCAGGTACAACACAGAGTTTTATGGCTAGTCATCAAAGTAATGCAAATAGAGGCATGCATTGCTATGCATGCAGGGCACCGTTGCTGGGAAAGAAAATAAAAGACAGACGAGTAAGAAACACCCAAATATTGGTGGTTGGTTTGTGCCAGCTCCTTTCCCCATAAACTGCTGGGGAAATCAGTGATACAAACTGCACCATCAGTGATGTTTCCCCCGTGCCTCACTCAATTCAAACACAGAGGAAGAGGACACAATAGTCTCCCCCACCCCCAGGCCTATTCAGACCCCATTTACCACAAGCCTTCACCTTGTAGCTCGAACACAAACCGCATCCCCTACTCAGTCACTACTTAGGGTGGGTAGTGAGAAGGGTCCTCCTTCCAGTCCCTGCCTGTTCCCCTACCAGCAATATTTTGAAAGGATTGAAGTTTCCAAACAGTGCGGAGGTTACCAGCTCAGAGGCTGAACGGCAGAAGGAAGGAAGCCTGGAGCCACACTCAGGAGATAAATACCATTTGGGGGTACATGTATCAGTTTAGGAATACTTGCAACAACCCTGTAAAGACAATAAAATGCATTTAGATATTCTTATGCTTTTTCAGGCTCTTTGACATGCATCTCATGAGGCTTTCCACAAAGAAGGGACCACCACCAAAAAGGCCCTGGCTAAACTGCAGGAAAGAGCATGCAAAATGGTCAAGGGGCTGGAACAATTCTCCTACGAAGAAAGGGACTGTTTAGCATGGGAAGAACAGGTGAGTCAGGGAAGACATGACAGAGAGTTACAGAAGGATGGATAGTATGGAGAACATGGATAGGGAGACATTTTTCTCCCTCTTTTATAATACTAGCTCTTGGAGTCATCCCATGAACCTGATTGGTGGGAGATTCAAGCACAGATAAAAGGAAGTATTTCAGCACACGGTTCATGGTCGCACTGTGGAATTCCCGCTCACAAAATGGCCACCAGTTTGAAGGATTTGACAAATTCACAGAGTTGAAGACTAATCCATGGCTACTGGATAGATGCACCCTCCAGATCAGAGGCTGCAGCCTATGTAGCCCAGTTGCTGGGGAACATGGGTGGGAGGGTGCTGCCGATCTGATGTTCTACAGGTAGGTTTCTCACAGGCAGCTGTTGAGCTATGCGAACCAAACACTGGAGTAGGTGTCTCCTCGTTCTGATCCACTGCGGCACTTCCTGCACCAGACAAACTCATTGGCTTTGGTGGCAGACACATGAGCGAATCTCAGGCCCAGGCAGATTCCTGCAGGTGCAACGTGCCCTTCAGATACTTTAGTCCCAAACATTTTAGGGCTGTACGGGTAACCACGTGCACTTTATATGGTGCACTGCTATTACTCCCTATTACAGATGGGAGCAGCTGGATCCAAGTGGTTTGCCTGAAATCCCCCCGTTAGCTTGTGGTTGAACCAAGGCTTCTTGAACCCCAGCTCAGCCTCTGACCCTCAGCACTACACCAGCTCTTTGGTCCACAAGCTCTTCGTCAGCTGTTGAGTTCAGTGCTAATCATCTAACAGGAAAGACAGAAAACTGGGCCTTAAGGTGAGTGTAGAGTGGGTGCCTTTGGCATGCTGGGTGTGGTTCCAGAAGGCACATTCCTGTATCGCAAGTGTCAGACAAAAAAGTTCCACTTCAAGACCCATCTGCTGACCTCTGCTACCTTCTCTCCATCAATCAATGCTGATTTAAATGCAGGATCTTCTGAATCATCAGGGTCTCCCGCTGAAATCTTTCCCAGACCTGTTGCCTGAGATCTACTTTTAAAGTAACTTTAACTGTATATATACAGTTAATAATGTAAGCTTAATAATGTAAGCTTAAATAACTATTTTTAAAATTATTTTTATTAAAAAAATAAGGTGATTTAATAATATACTTTTTCATGTAGAGGTCATTTTTCCATGGCCCTCCTTTTTTTTTTTTTTAATTTCCAAGCCCCAGTCAGTTTGGCCACAGATCAGGGATGATGGGAGTTGTAGTCCAACTTCTGGATGGCTACAGGGTCTCACTTGCACTCTGACCTCCCTGAGGGCATCAGACACTCAGCAAGAGCAAGGGAGTTTGACACCCTAGAACTAAATCCTGGCATCTGCAATGTCCAGACCCACATATGCTCCCACAGGTGCCCTCTGACCACAGGCACCAGCGATGGTCCTACAGTCTCGGCAAGTTATCCTCAGGTGGGCCTCCCCCTGCTCACCAGCTTAGCCACTGCCAGCAAGCCTGGAGTAGCCCTAAGGGCCTGATCCACCCCACTGCCCAGAAGCAGATGGTGAGCGGAAGGGGTCAGTCCTCTCTCTGCTCTACTCAAGCACAGTGCCGGGGGGGCGGGGGAGGCAGCAAGGAGGGTGGCTGTGGAGCTTCCTGCTGGGGTGTGGACCATCCAAAGTTGGGTGTGATAGATAAATCACACTACTGCCGGTAGAACTTTTGTCTCTTTCTCCCTGGAACAGAAGGGAAATATACATACACACATTTATGTATGTATTTATTTAACTTGGAGGAAAGCACCAGGGTGCAAACTCTTCAAAAAGTTTTTAAACGAAAGCACCTTTGGCTGGAGGGGTAGGCTGCAGCTGGGATGTTTCATAGACCTGGAAGACGGGCCTCCTTTTCATTTCTCGGGCCATTTGGCAGACAGCAAAGGGCCAGCAGCAATGAACGACCATCCAGTCTCCGAAGAGGGTTCCCTGGGAGAAGAGGGGAAGAGAAGCTTCCATGTTAGAACATCCAAGAAACCATCTCACATGCCACTAAGCACAGATCTAAGCAGACTCGTTCTACGCTAGTTCTTCACCAAGATTCTAACCTTTGAAGAGAGAGATTGAAAGAGAGCAAAATCACAGGTTGTTTCCACACTAACCAGTTAGTCCTGAAGAGACATCATTCATTCACTAAGTTTATACAGCAAATCTAGATGCTGACACTGTCAGTCAATGACATTCCAGAGGTTTTTGAAATGAGCCAATGAGAAAAGGCAGATGTGATTTGGGGCTATATTGATAAAAGTATCACTTCCAAATTTGTCTTTACTTCATGCTAGTTAGGCACCATTTTGAAGACTGCATCCAGTTCTGGGCACCACAGTTTAAGAAAGATGCAGGTAAGCTGGAAAAGGTTCAGCGCAGGGCAGCAAAGGTGATCTAGGGACTGGAAGCAAAGCTCTGTGTGGAGCGATCCCAGGAATCGGGCATGTTGAGCCTTGAGAAGAGAAGATGGAGAGGAGATATGACAGCTCTGTTCAGGTATTTCAAAGGTCGCCACACAGAAGAAGACCAGGATCTCTTCTTTATCACGCCTAAGTGCAAGACAGGGAATAATGGGCTCAAGTCACAGGAAGATGGATTCCAGCTTGAAGTCAAGAAAACTTTCTGACTGTTATGGTTCAACAATGGAAGCAAAAACTAAGGGAGGTCATGAGCTCTCCACACTGGAGGCATTCAAGATGCCCCTGGACATTCATTGGTTAGGATGCCTTAACACGGAGTCCTTCACTGAGCGGGGGGGTGGACCAAAAGGCCTTCTTGGCCCCTTCCCACTCTGCTGGCCCATCATTTTCAGCTTCTGGCATGTTTAAGGGCTTCTCTACATGAAGCATTGTGCTCACGATTACTCACAGAAGTGTGCAGGCCTTTTTAATGAAGGCATCACCACCTTCCAGGGCCGTCCCCATGTTTTCCAGCCATTTTTTAGAGCAAGGAGCATCAGCTATTTTCCTGGGTGCCATCATGATTTGTTCTAGAGGCATAGGGTAATTTCACAATTCTGCTCCACAGCCCACCAGCACTTGGCATTGTGTGACAGAACATACAAAAATCTAGAGGGGAAAATCTACTGGAAAAATTCCCTTCCGTGAAGGACTCTAATCCTCTCAAAAAGTCAGTGGGAGAAGCGGCCCTTGAAAGAAGCCCTTCAACTGGTTGCACCCTCCTCCACCTCAGTAACCATGATAGGTCCAAATTGCCCCTAATTAGCCAATTCCTGTCCCCTCTGAAATAGAGCTTCCATTACTGGTTTTCTCTTTGCTGCTTGATCATTGCTTCTTACTATTTTGGGTCCCGTCCGCCCATGCGAATATAACAACACAGCCTTCCACACAACAGTGCCTTGTTCTTTTGTCTTTACTTTCAAGGCTGTGCTCAAACTTTCCAGCACTAGAATGAACATCCACCCTTTTCCTTTCCTTCTTAAGGCAGGGAGCAAGCTATTCTGCCCTCTCAGCAGCGTGAGTTACCCAGTTCGAGCAACACTGCCTCATGCTGTCTGGAGATCAGACACTGCCAGCACGGTCCCATCCCTCTTTACTCAGAAGTAAAACTCACTGGGCAGGTTTGCACAACATGACAAGCCATGGTGGTGTCTTGTGCACGATGGTTTGTCATGTCATCCAAACCCCATTGTGGTACTTTGGGTTTTTAAGACCATTTTCCTATGAATTGTACTTCACTTTCTCCTGGCATCCTAAACTGGCATCATGGTTTCCATGGTCCTGGCATGCAGCTACCACACAGCAGCTGCTGTAGAAGCTGCTTCAGTCATCCAGCAAGAGACTGACATGCAGGCACAGTGGCTGATGGGATACTTGCCAACAGCATGAGGACTGAGTGCGGAGGGTGGAAGCCTCTCTCAGAAACCACTTGATCGTTCATCAGACAAAAAACCACAAAAACAACACAGACTTGCTTGCTGTAACCGTGAACCCGTTCACTGTGTTCAGTGGAGTTTTCTGCACAGAACTGGACTTAGGGCCAAAACATACATTGCCCATGTGACTAGCATTTGTGCCTTTTCCCCTTCATCTTTATCCTCAAGTAGGTGCGCGTGCACACACCCACACACCCGCACACCATTTCCAGTGTGCTTATTCTGGGTTAGAGATGGCGGTGGGGATGAACACAGCTGCAAGGCACAGGCTCCCAGTACTGTCGTCGTGGTCCTTGGTCGTGAATCACCCCTTGGCCAAGGGGGATGGTGTTGCCCCTCTCAAGCAGCACTGCAGCCGAGCTGGGTCCCAGTGACCCTGGCTACCCTGCATCTCGGCCCTGCCCAGCCCGCGGGACAGCCTGCGTAAGTCTCTGAGGCTCTTGCTATGGGAAGAAAAGGCACGGACACTTGTCTCTTCCACCCAGGGCTCACATGGCTGAGGCCAAGATAGCACGGCTCCTATTGAAGATGCTTTACTGATATGACTTTGTGAGGAAGGGATTTAGATTTCCAGAACAGCCAAGATTTGCACTCCATTTATTCTACTGGCAAGAGGTTAGAGAAGTACCTCACTCTATAAGTACCTCCAAGGCTGTCACAAAGAGGAAGGTCAAGTTCTCTTCTCACTGATACCAGAGTGTAGGAGATGCAATAATCCATTCAACTTGCAACGGCCTGGGTTCAGGCTAGATGTCAGGAAAAGTTTCCTCACTGTCAGAGCAATACAACAGTGGAACCGGTTGCCTAGAGCAGCTGTGGGCTCTCCCACACTGGAGACTTTCAAGGCAAAACTGGACAGCCATGTGAATGTGACAGTGTAAATGGGTGTCCTGCAACAGCAGAGGGCTGGACTTGATAGCCTTCATGGCCCCTTCCAACTCTACTATTCCATGATTGTAAGAGTGTTGCTAGAGGCAGATCCATTTCCGCCGTTACCTTGGAAACCCCTGCTGTCCCACCCTTCCTTCCCACCTTCTGAAATGTGTATGTAATACAGGTGGGGGGTTGTGGTCATTGTTCCCTTGCAAGAGATTCAGAGCAACGTGACGGAGTGCATGACACAGCGCTGTGGGTGATGGTAAATATCTGTGCCACCTCCCCGTCTGTGCAACCTCCCCCTTTTGCCTCCCATTGTATGAGTGCTTAGGACAGCAAAGCTGCAGCAGAAACACTCTTTTTAATGAAGCCAAGATGACGTGCTCATCACTCATCTTGAGCTGAGTCAGCACAGGCTGCTTGCCCTTCTGCCAAACCCTGCTGCATGGTGCCAATCAAGTGCCACATCATACTTGGGAGGACATCTTCCCAATCTCCAGCTTGCTTTACTAAAGATAAGTGTTTATTAGTGGCATTATTCCATTGCGTTTCTATCCTGCCTTTTTCCTTCTGTGAAGCTTACGTCGCTGTTTTCTCCTCACAACAACAGCCCTGTGAGGTAGGTTAGACTGAGAGTGAGTCACCTGGCGAGCTTCAAGGCCAAGCAGGGGCTAGAACCTAAATCTTGGTGTCCCCGCTTCAGCACTCTTAATCCTTTGCAGCTAGCTCCTGTTAAGTATGTATTATGTTTGCAGAAACTTCCAGAAACACCCCAGAACAGTTATCCTTTTAGCCTCACAGTACAGAATATGGAACAAAATTGACAAAAATTAAGGGATCTCCTACACAAAACATTGATTGGACTCTTGTGACCCCTCCCTTGTGGAAACTTGTGGTGTATTTTCCCATCCTCCTCCTCCTCTAGAATCTTTTCTTTGTTTTCCTCTAGAATCTTTCCTTTGTTTGGGTATAATCCCAAAACTGCTTTCCTTTTTAGCAGGTCTGTGTTGCGTTTTTAGAGCAAGGAAAGTCTGGTATTGAATTTTAAATGGGATTATACTGAAACAAAAGCTGCATGAAAAGTAATTTCACTACACCACAGTGCCACCTTGTGCTTCATGAGGAGAATCTATAGGAAGGCAGAGAAATAGAAGACCCCAGAAAACAAAACCTGTGTAAAGAACACAATTTCCTCCTGCAATGAAAACAGAAGAGCCTGCAAGTGGAGCAGCAGGTTAAACCCATCATGTAGAGAAGCCCTGATATTGTGCCTCCGCTTGGCACATGAGGGCTCCAGCTATGTGAGAAAGTACACCATGCTTCTTCGATTTCAGCTGAAAACTTAAGAAGGCTCCATAACCTCCACGCCTTTAAAGAACATTTCAGCACAGACTCTACAGTTGTGCTGGTCTTTTGTTTTCCATTTTCCTGATTACATGGTAAGTATATTTTCTCCCTGCAATGACATTCTGGACAATGCAATTTTGCAGCCGCAGTAGAGAAAGACAAAGCTGCCCTTAAACAATACTTTTAAAAAAGGGGGATTTGCTTGGCTCTGACATGCGATTATAAAATAAGCACTGCCTTTTCTTTCTCTGCTAAAAGAGAGGACATTTGAAAGGTTTAATGCATATGCTCCACTTTATGGAAAGCAGGCAACTCACAGTAGAAGAGATCTTCACCCCAGACGGAGCAAAAATGTGGGGCCTTCCGAAAGGTGAGGAGAATGGCAGGTCCGTGTACTACGAAGCCCTGAGGTTCTTTCTGCACTGTTTCAGCTGAACTTTTCACCCTCACACAGAGCTCAAGTCTTCACTATTCATTAGCGCACATTAGTGCACTGAAGTGCCTCACTGCCACATCGGCAGGTTAAAACCACAGCTTTGACCAGGATGGCATCGGGGGGAGAGGCCCAAGCCCCCCGATCCAGTGCCTGGTGGGAGTGGATGGAGTGCTTGCGTAGACTTACGCGTATTTTGAATCGCTCTCTGGTGCTGGTCCTCAGGGCCACAGTGGAACCCAGCAGCAGCGGGAAGCAGAAGCACTCTCCGTAGTGGCTGGCAAGGCTGCATTCCAGACATGGGCTGCAGAGCAAGCCCCACACACCTGCGGTGAAACACAAGCACAGGGAGGCTGGCGTCAGGCCAGGAACCTGCGTCGTCCCTCAAGCACCTGGCAGGAAAGGACCCGCATCTGTCTGGCTCATCAGTGTTGAGCACACAGCGCCCTCACCCGCCATTCCAGGGCCCCTGTTTTGAGGGCCCTTGGCAAGACACCCTCGGTGCGCCCCCTCCACATGCCTTTCCCACTGCCACCGGCTGCTCCCACTCCTTGTCTTCTTCCTCAGCATTGCAGGCATCCCGGAGGCCATGACAGCTCCTGCTCTTGCTCCTCCCCGCTTCCTGAGCCAGAGGGCAAGCAGGTGGCCCAGCAGGTTGCAGTGAGGAAGCAGTGGGCCCCCGCTGGGGGTGGGCCCATGGCCGGGGCCTGTCCATGCCTACCTTTGTAACCTGGCCTGCTCCTGGGGACCCAATATGCCAGTCATCCAGAAGAGTGATTCAGATTATGAACTCACTGCCAGTACACATGAATACAGCACAGCACAAAAATGGATTACAAGGAAAGCTGCTTTGCATTTGGCTAGAATTGAAACTGTGGAAGTATTGTGGATCCCCCCCGCCCCCAGGACTAGAGTTGTACCCCAAATTCGACTAAGGCAAGACTCCTCCAGAGTTGTGTCTATGTTGTTGTTGCTAGTTGCAAAGTCGCATCCGACCCATCACGACCTCATGGACAACACTCCTCCAGGCCTTCCTGCCTTCCACCATCCCCCGGAGTCCACTCAAGCTCACTCCAACTGCCTCAGTGACTCCATCTAGCCACCTCATCCTCTGCCGTCCCCTTCTTCTTTTGCCATCTATTGTTCCCAGCATTAGGCTCTTCTCCAGGGAGTCCTTCCTTCTCATCAGGTGGCCAAAGTATTTGAGTTTCATCTTCAGTATCTGGCCTTCTAAAGAGCAGTCAGGGTTGCTCTCCTCTAGGACTGACCGGTTTGATCACCTTGCGGTCCAAGGGACTCACAGGAGTCTCCTGTATATGTACAGCTTCCTAAATTTTTACCACCTTTTCTAGCCTTCCGATTAAACCAAGAGAAGCACCACCAGGCACCTCCCTTAGCACGAGGTGATGCTCCGTTTGTTGCAGTGAATCTGTAAATGCTGCAGTGTAGATGGTGAACGTCAGGCTTCCATTGCTTCGATGACACCACTCCACCTGACAAGCTCGTTTCCTACACGCACAAAGGATTGTGAATAAACCATGGAAAAGTCATACAAGCAGCACCTGATCTGCAGCTTGAAGTGTCACAGTTTTGCTGATCAGCTAAGCGTCTCTTAGTTCAAACCATCATCCTGAAACTTGGCAAGATAAATAAATTAAGTTCCCTGAGTTAAATATAATATTTGAGGACCTAACTCTCTCCATTACTAGGGATTTTGAAAAATTCACAACAGATCCAAAAGAATTCAGATTTCTTTGAATCAGACCCCCAGATTCTGCAGCTTTTTCAGAGTTGCACAGATTTCATGGAGTTGCAGACCGATATGTTTCTTGGGGGTGGGGGGGAGTTGATTGCAACATTTTATACTCTTTTCAGCACCAGGCAAAACCTTTTTATTTAAATAGTATTTTAAAATTAACAATTTTTAACCTTAGTCACTCTTGTTTGTTTCTGATTTGTTGTTTTGTTCGGTTTCAATGTATTTATTAGAAATTGGTGTTTTAACTGTTCTTTTAAATATTGTAAGCCATCCTGAGATTTTGGTGTAATAGGACGGCATACTAAAGCTTTAAATAAGTAAGTAAGTGTCCACTAGCACTTATGTGCATTAGTCACACATTAATGCAAATGCGTAATTGTATGCCAAGCAATTTTTCTGAAAAAAAAATGCAGTTCTGTTAATCAGCAGACCATAGACTGAAGGACATCTAGCAATCCACAAAACACAGAAGGAGTTACCAAAATCCATATATCCTTATTCATTACTAAGGGGCCAAGTTACACATAGCTACACAAATGTATATATACAGGCAAAACTCGAGTGCTTGACTGTCTATCTGATTTATACCCCAACCTTGCTGATGAAAAATGGCACTAAAGGCCTCCAACTGTGCTTGTGGGGTGACTCAGTTGATAAAGGCTGCAGCCGTAGCCCTACTTACTTGGGCTCATCCCTACTGAATTCAATAACACCTACTTCTGAGTAGATGTTGATAAAAACGTGGTGCAAATTGGGTGGTCTCTAGATACAAGAACAAAAAGGCTGCTTCCTGAATGACATTTTCATTTGACATGAGGACACAGATGAGTCCAGATCAGAGATTCAAGGCCAACCCTTGGCTCCATTTTTCTCCAGCAGCAGCTCAACCTCATCACCTCAGCCGCAACTTTGACAGGATGAAGTGCATCAGTCATTCTTGTAGGGGCTTATAAGTCTGTAAAGACTCATTCCTCCCACAGCACACCTGGGAATGCAGCTTGGACAGGAGATTAAAAAGGAGCAGTGGCAATCCTTACACACTCCCTTGTCCTGGAAGATGTCCAATAGGCCAGTGGACCAGCTGCCTCCAGTACACAGGATGGTTGTGACTCTGGATGTAGCAGAAGCAACGGGAGACGGCTGAGTTGTCACCGGCTCTGTGGAATTTTTGCTCCTGGTTAAAAGAAGAACACACACACACTCAGATGAGGAAGAGCCTGGGGTATAGCAACCAGGAAACTCATAAAACAAGGAATCTTTGGTCTGGAGGAAGCGAGAGAAAAGGCATTCATTATTTTTCTGCCACCTGTTTGGTTGAAGTCCCCCCAAGGCACCTCCGCAGTCTCTCCTTGGATCCGAGCCTGTGTCGCCTATGTGTCAATATTTCTTCATATTTATTACAAAGCACTGAGCTGATGGTACCCTGTGCCACTGTAATTAGATTTAGAATTAGAATGCACGCCTGTGGAAGGAGGGATGTTAGAAAAAGGGAAGTTACTTATTTAAGAATCTATGATTTGATGATTTTGTTTCTCAAATATTTAATCCACCTCTCCTTTCAAAGGCAAGAAACCAAGTAGCTAACAATCTATAATGTGTCACTAAAATACAATAAACAGATCAAAGAGATACATTTTGCAGTAATGTCCCATGGTTCAAAGCTGTTGGAATCGGGGTAATGTAAAAGACCATCATTTTCTTTTGACCAATTTTTTCAATGCCACTGGTGTTCTCTTTTTCCTGCAGCCAGAATTGGGATTCCTGCTTACTGAGAGGAAGGAGAATTGCCCTCCATCCAAATACTAGCCTTTACAAACTTACATTAAAACTACTTCAGGTGCAATGCTGTGCCTATGTAGACAGAAAAAGTCCTACAATTCTTAGCCATCTCTAGCCTGCTCAATTAAACAGAGAGATTCATGAGGAAATGAGATGGAGCAGACTTAACAAACACAGCAGAACCTGAAAGGGGCTAAAAAAGGTCTGGTTTGTGGGTGCAGAGCATATAGCAATATATTACTTTCCACTAGGGCCATGTGAAAAATCCTCCTTTCTATTTTTCCTATACACAACTTGTCAAAAAGCAGACAATTAACTAGATTCCCACTTATCTAGCCCCCAGCCCCCAAAGTCCTTCACATTCATGATCCCAATGCACCATAAAACATCCTTTTCAAGTAGACGGAGACAGCTTTCATTACTCTCATAATACATTTGGGAGGGGGTGGATGGGGGGACTGTTTGCCTTCCAGTGAGTTCATGGCTAAATTCCACCTGTGTCAGGCTGCAAGCCTCTCCTCATTTAAGGGGGAATAAGCCACAGGAGGCTCAGCTGGACTTACTTCTGAGAAGACTTGTCTAGGATGGTGATATCTGATTCATAGTTTGTTTGGAACCACTCTGCTACACCAACTCTATGGTATCCTAGGAGCAAAAAGGAGAAGGAGCAGCAGAGAGGAAAGAAGGCCAGGCCAAAACCCTCTGGAAGTATCCATCAGCCTTTTCAAACTTTCCTGCCAGCAAGTCCACCAACGATTATGATCATGATTTTAATGAAGAGCAAACTTCTCAGGAAACCAAACTCTTGTATGCTTGTGAAACATTGGAGAATGTTAATAATAAGTTTGAACACCTCTGACAGGCTGGCAAAGAAATCTCTCTCTCTTTCTTCTCACTGATGAATTGTCTTTTTTGGCACTTTTGTGCAGCTGCATGATCTCAGTAAATCACTGCGGTTACACTGACACTGCAGTGTCCCACAGGGACTATTCCCCCACAGTAGTGGAAGAACATAGTCATCCCAAAGCTGCATTAAATCAAGGCAGTAGCTGCCTCATATGCCAATACCAATAGGTTTGGGTCTTAAGCTATAACACCCTGGAGGGAAGCCCTGTATATAGACCTTGGTGTTTTTGAACATTAGCTTTGTGGGAAACACACTGGAGTCTGATAATGGCTTGAGTTATTTTTGGGCCATCTGGGATAAAATATGCTTGTGTAAAAGGAGAATGTTGTACATCACACTAGCTCCTTAGAGGAAAGGTGGGACAAAAATAGAGTTGGACCCTGACCGTATCATACTTAAAGTAGACTAGTGAAATCACTGAGGCTTAAATTAAGCAGCTATGTTCACTTGACAACTTGAGGTAGTTCATAGCTGTCAGGCTTAGTAGCCACTGATGACCATCTTCTCCAGGAATTTGCCCAGTCCTCTTTTAAAACTGTCCAAACTGGTGGCCAGCACTACATCTTGTGAATTCCATAGTTTGACCATGTGCTGTGTGATGAAGTATTCCCTTTTATGTCTCCCGAATCTTCCACAAGTCAGCTACATGGGATGACCCTGGGTTCTAATACTGTGAAATAAAGAGAAAAATGTCTCCCTGTCCACTTTTGCTACACCATCCATAATTTTGTATACCTGCCATTTTTCCCATTGCTTCCTTCCCCCCCCCCCCCGTCCCCATTGCTTCCTTTTTAAGTGATCTCAAATGTTGTAAGATTTCCTCAACAAGGGAGTTACCCCATCCAGTAATAATTTTCAATGTCCTTTCCTGTACTTCTTCTGGATCTTTGTGGTGCTAGATTCGATTCAAAGGGGGAAGACAACAGAAAGCAAGCCTGTGGAGACTGGATTCCAGAAGTTAGTTGGTGGGTACCGCACGAAATACAGAGCATTTTAATGGTGGTACCACAATGTGGAATTCCTTGTTTAAGGGACGGTTGTTGTGCTTTTCTCTTTTTCCCCCTGCAGTTTTATTTTATTATTAGTAACTTTCTGTAAGCTGCCTTGGGAGTAATTTCTGCAAGCAAAAGCGCAGCTAATGCACATATATGGAGCAGGTTGTTTCCCAAACAGATGGGGAACTCATTACCTCAATGTAAACAGGATGTCATTCCAGTTTTCAGATGCTTGCAGAGAATGGATCGATGGAGAGTGCGGCATATCAGACAACAGACTTTTCTCCGTTGTTGTAAAACAGCAGTTTATGAGCTTGTCCATTGGGAATGAGGAAGTAGGCAGAAGATCCAGCTCTGACTGAAGACTGAAAAGATGGTTTCTAGAATGTGCGTAACAAAAGGATGCTGACATCACAACATTCTCCACTGCAGTGTCACAATGAAGTGGCAATCCACCTTTTTATAGAGTACTGCTGTAAACTGCAAGTGCTCCAGTGTCCCCTTGTGTGTTGCATGTGTGTTTCTTTGAAGACAGTTTGGTAAGCGGACTCTAAACCCCTATGGTTGAATAAGGGCTGCTGGTGGTGATAAGTATCAGTTATGTGTGTGTCCATCTGGTGGTGGTGGTGGTGGTGGTGGTGGGGAGTTTGTTAGGGAAAGGAAAGGGTTAATCTCTGCTCCCTGTTCATTGGGGTCCCAAGGAGAAACCCCCTTTGTTTTATTTCTGAATAGGCAAGAGATTGCTAATAACGTGTTTAGCCCCCATCCAAAAAATGGACAGGAAGTAGTTAAAGTTCAGTTCATGTATGAAGTAGCTAGAGGTGACTGAACACTTATTCATGAGAAACCATATGAGCAGAGACTTCAGTAGCACATCCATCCATAATTACAGGCAAATGACTGTTGAGTTATTTTCCCAATATCTGTAATCAGAGTCAAAATAAAAATTCAAAGCAAGAACTTCTCCAATGCCTGCAGTAGAGGTTAAATGTGTCTTTGAAGAGCACAACTTTGAATAGATGTTGTGATTTGGAAATGGAGAAATTAGGACACCATTTTCTTTTGGAGAATGTTTAGTAAAGTGAAAACTAAAACATAAAATGTAAACTGTTGTATATATTGTATATATGAAACATTGATAACTACCCTGCTTGATTCTGTTTATTTAGCCCATGCAAATTTCCTCCAGTGCTACCAAAAAAGAAAAGCATGATTCTCCCATGAACAAAGGGTAAAAATGGAGCACACAATCCACAGTAAGCTACTGTGCATGTTACTCTTGATGGAAAAAGAGGGGTGAGTGCGAAATCTTGCCCTGGACTCATTATACCCATCTGGTAGTACAGTAGTTTCTGAATGCAGGCTAAATGGAGAAAGCTTTGTTGTTTGATATGCAGTTGAAAGAGCATGCCTCAGGGCTCCAGGCTCTATTTTCCCCTTAAGAGAAATCTTTAAAACACGATTTATTCCACATGTTGCACACATTTTGCATCATCTCTTCTGCATCCATTCCATAACACTTACAAAAATTATATCAATACATTGCAAATCCCATCCAGTCATTTGGAACCTCATGGGGCTTAAATTGGGTGAAATGTGTGCAGATTATGGCTCCAAGCTCTAATACTAACCAGGTATAAAATTAGGTTTTAGGGCAGTTCCTTTAAATATATCCTATCAAAAAAAGTAAAGCAAAACCTTCAAGCAATATCATAGAGCACTTTAATCCAACATCTTGGGCAGGGAGCTGGAGTGCAATCTACAGAACATGCACAAATTACATAAGGATCATTGGGGGCAGGGCAGAATTAATTTCTAAGCATTTTTTGTTTTTGTTTTTAGTCCTCCATGTGGTCTACATGCACCTAATAAATTTCTCCTTCCTTGCAGCAGTCTTCTAGTATTTAATATCTGAAGACACAAATTCCTGAAAGGTACACTTTATTAGCAGAAGTAGGTGAATAAAGCAGACCAAATCCAGAAAGAAAGGGACTTGGCAAACTTTACCAGTCACAGACTGATAGTTCTCTGGTTAAGCAGTCAACTACACAGCAAATCAAGCCGGCCTTCAGAGCATCTGGAAAGGCAGGCTGAATCAGTCCGAGCATCTATCTGGGTTAGTATTCTGTTCACACCTTGGCAAGCCAGCTGTCTGCAGGTACAACAGCCTCCTCTTATGCAAGAGCCCCAGCAGCTGGTGTACATAAACATCCCCCCTCTGCTCATGGACATGCATACAGCCATGCAGCTGGTAGCCACTGAGGGCCTTCCTTCCTGTGAATTTGTGGGAGAAGCTATCGTATGCCTCTTGAGTTGTTAACTAGCTTTGCACCCTGTGTGACTCTATTTGCTGCATGTGCATTTATTGGGCTTGATTCCCTGCTGACTCTATTCCAACAGTTATGATTGAAATGGTAACTTGAAAGTCAAATGTGTGAAACTGCAATATCTGATTATATGCAAAATTTTACTTTTGGATTTGCTGCCGGAACTTGTTTTAGGACTGTTCGATTTGTTCCAGGCCGTTCACAACCCTAATCTGCAATTTTTCAGTGTTGTTTAGAAAAGAAACATTCAAAAACTTATAAAGTCCCAGAGGAAAAGCTGCTTTTTTTCACAAGGAAGGAGAAACTGAAAGCAGTAATAAAACATTAAGGTGTGTGTGGTTAACAGAAACGGTGGACCAGTTGCTCTTGACACCTGCTTCAGAGCTAAAGGAGTCACTTAGGAATGCCCTGAATAGCAAGCTGATTGGAAAACATGTTGCAGCAAGATCAGTTTTCCGCCTAAAACATGTAAAGCTTCTGTCCTAACTCGTATGACATAGGGGTCCTTACCATACTATAGCTAAATGTTTAGGGTCAACAGGGCAGAAATAAAATAATTGGATATAATGATATACTCCCCAATGCAAGGGGTGGGAGAACTTGTGGTCCTGAAAGGTTGGACTGCAGCTTTCATCAGTTCCAGGCTCAGCTAGCATGACTGACCATGCTAATGGTCAAGGATGATGGGAGCTGCAGTCCAACAGCATCTGGAGGACCGCAGGACGACTTCCACACCTATTCTAATGATGAAGACCCCCTATTTTCCTTCCAAGCATCACTGCCTGTGCCTGTTCCCAATACCGTTAACACATGAGCACATAGAAGGTTGGTTGTGTGTTGTGCCCCAGCTCTGGCATCTCACACACTGCCTCTACATCTGTGCCTTCCATGTGGTGCCAGTGGAGCAAAGGGGCAGCTATGCACACTCAGCCAAATGGCCATAGGTATTTGCATAAATGTTCCTCTGGAACCCCTGCACTCCAGTGCTGAACCTCAGGCCAAATCCAGCCTACGCAGGGCTCTCCAGATGTCCATATCCTTGGCTCCACTTTCCTACAACAGCCAGTGCTTTCATCATTTTCTAGCTTTTCTGCATTTTTCCCCATTTGCAAAAACTTAAATGCTTCTCCTAAGGCTTCATTACGTTCCCAGCCCTTTGGCCTTCAGCCCTGTCCACCACCGGAACGCAAATTGAGAGTGCCTCCAAAACTGAATTCAGACCATGCACTGAAAGAGGTTCAGCACCCCGAGCTCTGTGATCGTGTGAAACACCCACATGTCCCAGGGGCACATGTGCAAGCGCCCCTTTGCAGATGCCAGGCTGAATGGGCAGACCTCAAGGGGCAGGGTGGCTGGAATGGGCCCCGTCTCCTTTCTCGACACACACCTTGTACACAGGGGCGTGCAGGGCGGGATGAGGCTCCTTGCTTTAACAGATGCAATGGTGAGCCAAGCTTGGCTGTCAAACCGTCTCCACTGCACAGACAGGGCTGATGCTCTGAAATGCTACAGAAAGGACAAGCAGCTGGTCAGGCACTCGCCCTGTCCTGCTCCAGAGGGTCGTTCCCCTCCAGTCATGCAGGAGGGGAATCTCCAACTGGGCACCCACTTGAGGGACGGCAGCCCATAGCCTCTTCAGCAGGGCAGAGCAAGGGAGGGGGCACCGGGGCCCCTTTCCCTCACCACGGCTGCCCAGTGGCTTCTCACTCCTGCCACCGGCTTGCAAGGAGCATTGTAAGGAGCACCTCTCTGGCACATGCAAGGGGCCGCATGAGGAAATCCACTGCGACACTCATGCCTCCAGCCAGGCCCTGCCAGGCTGCCCAGCTACTTCTCACTCTGCTACTCGTGGGAGAGGGGTGGCATGGGGGAACCTGCAGCGGCATACGGCCCCCAACAGGGCATCGCTGCCCAGCAGAGTCTCACAGCACTGCTCTTCTTCCAGAGCTGAGCAGCTGATCTCGGGGGGTGGGGGGAGATTTTTAAGGCACTCCAAAACCTCCACAGAAAGAGTGACAAAATAGGGATGGCATCCCAAAGTAGGACCTATCCCTGGTAAAGAGAGGAACAGCTTATGCATATGGTTTAGGTAGCAATCTTATTTCCCCACTGGCTAGGGAATACTGGGAGTGGTAGGACCTTTTTCCTGCCTAAATATGTACAGGATTGTGGCTTCCATGCCTTTGTCTCTAAGGTCTTCCCCATCCCCCTTCCTTTACTGGTTCCTATTTGAAGCTGTTTGACTATGAGTTTATGGTATCTCATCCATCCCACTTTACATTTGAAGGGATCAGCTTCAACCATTTGCTTTTAAAATACACACACAAACCAACCAACTGTTCTTTGGTAAAGCTGGCTCACCCAAGCTCCTTCCAAGTGGCTGCTCAGGCAGAACCAACAGCCTCGCAATTAGCATGGAGACGTGTTATTAAATTGTACCTGTGGAAGCTTGGGGTGGGGCATGTGACCTGGTCCTGCCCTGATCTTCCTGGGCTGGGTGGGAAGCCTGGCTGAGGATGCCAAGAGCTTTCGGTTGAGCATCCTTTCTCCAACCCCATTGTCATCGGAGCTCCTGACTGGGGGGAGCATTCTACGTGTGGTGGGCTGGCTGGGCCTAGAGCCGCCCCCCCTTCAGAACTTCCCACACAATTTGGGAAGATCAGGGAGGAGGTGCAGCTGGCATGCCGGGGGCCACTCTACTTCCATGGGTACAATGTGTAGCAGTTCAATTGGGTGTTTATGTTCTCTCATAAAAACCTCCCTCTGTCTCTGCCATTATCACAAAGACTTACCAGCTGGAAGCAGCTACAGGCTGCCCAAGAGTGCCACCTCTTGGAAGGAATTAAAGGCACAGAACAATCCATTGGGTATCTTGTCTTTTTAAAGCATCTGGTTTTCCACTCAAAAACCAGCCAAAGTGCCTCTGGAGCAGGTATCTTTTGCCAATTCTTCTATCTAATCAAAACCCAAAACCTCAGAGATCCATCCATGGAGC